GGGGGTTAACAACAGCCCGGGGGAGGGGGGGCAGGGCAGACCCCCCCAGCCCTTCTGACCCTCCACAGCCCCATGTGCTCCAGGGATGTCACGAGCAGGTGGTGACATTGTACCCATCTCCCAGTGATGTCAGAGCAGCGGTGAGGTCATCAGGTACTAAGTTAGTGGAGGAGGGACTGTAATGTCACAGGAAGGGGAATGCCAAGGGTTTACAGCCCGGGGGAGGGGGGGCAGGGCAGACCCCCCCAGCCCTTCTGACCCTCCACAGCCCCATGTGCTCCAGGGATGTCACGAGCAGGTGGTGACATTGTACCCATCTCCCAGTGATGTCAGAGCAGCGGTGAGGTCATCAGGTACTAAGTTAGTGGAGGAGGGACTGTAATGTCACAGGAAGGGGAATGCCAAGGGTTTGTCCCCTGTGATGTCACAGCATCCCATGCTGTCACACCAGCGGTGAGGTGAGGTCAGAGCAGCCTGGGCCCATCCACACGGCGATGTCACAGTCCAGAGGCATTGCAGCAGCAATATCACGGGGAGGGCAAAGTGTCATACATACACCCGCGCTGTGATGTCATAGCCTGGTGATTTGGCAGCAATGTCACCATGTGCAGATCAGCACTACGATATCACAGGCTGGGGGCATTTCAGCAGTGATGTCACTGTAAGGTCAGAGCTCCTAGTGCACATCCACACTGATGTCAAAGTCAAGTGGAGGTTAAACTGTGCAGTGATGTCACTGTGAGGTCAGAGCTTCCCACGCACATTGATGCTATGATGTCACAGCCCAGCAGCATTTCAGCAACACCATCCCTGAGATCACAGCTTCTGGCACATCCACATGGTGATGTCACACTGTTGTCACGGCTTGCCGTGCCTGTCCATGCAGCGATGTCACAGCTCAGCAGCATCTCTACAGTGATGTCATCAGGATGCCTCACACCCATCGACACTGCGACCTCACCGCCTCTCTCACCAACAGCCGCCCCACCCCCCCGCCCCCCCCCCCCCCCCCCCCCCCACCAGCCGCTCTATGGTGTCATAGCCACCCACTGCTGCCTCTGCCACATTACCATGACCTCACCGCCTCCTGCTGTGATGTCACCATGCTCCAGAGGGGAAATGACGCCTTCACTGCCAGCTCATTGCATCACAGGGGGGAGGGGCATCCTCTCTGCAGCAATGTCACCTGGTGAGGCTGGGGCTCAGCAGTAGCTCCGGGTCTGCGCCGCCCAGGGGGAACCCAGGCATCCGGGCGGGGGCAGGGCCCCGTCGCCAGGCTGGGGCGGGGGCGGGTAGGGGGGCCCAGGCCCCG